GTGGCGTGGCGTGGCGTGGCGTGGCGTGGAGTGGAGTGGCGGGGAAGTGGGGCCGAACCGACACATAGCTGCGCGCATGCCGTGCGAGTTTCATCACTCGGCGCCGTAGCATCGCAAAGAACGCCGATTGGAAGCGTGGGTCTCGGCGATATGAGTCCTGCGAGTGAGTGTTCCTATCGTTACTCTAGCCCGACGGGAAGGTCGCAAGTCGATATGGCAGACACGCCCTCCCACCCCTTCTTGCACGACGGGCTCTGCTCCCGACCAGAGCGGGCGCACAACGAGTCCGGTGGTACGCCTTTTGGTACCGCCTGTTGCACCGGGATCGTCGGCGGGGCCAGGCAGGGAGGGACCCCGGTTGAGCTGCCAGCAGCAGGACGCAGGACGCGGCGGGAAGAGGCCAAACCCAAAACTCGACCCACAAAAAAAAAGAAGGGAAAAGGGAGGGGGGCTTACTGTCCGCCGGCCGCAAATTGTGCCGGGATGTGCTTTGTGCAGAAGCAGGCCAGCACTTTCGGCTTCACTGAGGGCCGAAACACGGCGCGGCGTGGCGGCGTGGCGGTGGGGCGGCAGGGCGGCAGGGCGCGGCAAAGAAAGGGGGGGGGAGGGGAGCATTATTCTGATTCCAGGAGGGCCACGGGCGCTGCGAAGGGGAAAGGGAAGGGTCGGGAGTGGAAATGGGAGGTGGGGAAGGGAGGCGGGTGGGGGGCTAAGGCCCACTGACAACACGAAGGGGGGGAAGGCTGCACCACGGGCCAGTCTGAGAACCGTTAGCCCGGTCCAAGACGCCACGCCACGCCGCGCCCGTCCTGTGGCCACCAAGTTGCGTCGGTCGGTCGTGAGACTTGTCTGCCCCCCCCCCCCTCATCTCCTTACTCCTCAAACATGCCTTCTTTGGCTCCTCATGAAAGGTGAAAAAGATACCCTTGCTTTGTAATTTTTGTACCATTTACTGACTTCGGTCTAGGTCTGTTCCTGCAGACCACGGGCCCGGGTCTGGCATAAATGTTAAGTGAATAGTGTACTTCACTTTACTTGTTGCTTTCCGCCCACTCGCTCGGCCAAGTTCGCAGTGCCGGTGTGCTGTACGACACCCACTTGCAGCAGGTCTAGCTGGTTCCTCTGCTCCTCGTTACCGCTGGCCCCAGCATCCTGCGGGTCATCACCCGGTGGGTCACCATGCCTAGGACGTACCACAGGCTGTCCCGCGGGTCATGTACGGTCTTAGAAGGTCCGGGTGGAGTACACCACACTCCACACACGCCGCACACACACGAGCGCACGCGCACAGCACTTTCCCTTGTGCTGACTGCTGGCACGCCTATTTGCCAACCTGCACGGCACTTTTGGCGATTTTCCGTCGGAAGCGCCGCGGGAGTGCGGACGTCGGATCCGACAAACCAAACAAAAAATGTTTGCTGTGTGTGTATCACACAAGACAGAGAACGTCACACACGACGACTGAAAATCGCTCCGTCGTTTCTGCCCCTCCCCCTCTATGCGACGGGGCATGAGTGCTGCACGAGAGGTATGGGGGGGAGGGGGAGGGGCCGGGCGGCAGAAGGCGGGCCGCGGGCCGCCGCGCCAGCAGGAGAAAGTGGTGAGCTGCGGGCGCCACGCCACGCCATGCCCGCACACTTACAGAGCCCACAGGTGTCAGAAACCCTCTGCAAAACCTCGCCCGTCGAGTCGAGGCGAGTACGCCATCCAGCGTTCGTTGCCCCGCCGCTCGGGACCCTGATCCTGATGGTGGCCGCCCGGGTCCTGCTGGTCCTGCCTGCACTCGACCGCCAGTATGGCCGCCTCCAGCCTCCGCAACTCCACCCGCTGACCGCGGGGCCGCGACACACGCCGAGCCCCGGCCCGCCCCCGGCCCGCCCCCGGCGCTACGATTTGACCAGGCTGGAATGTCGTTGTGCCGCCCCCGGCCCGCCCCCAGCGCTACGATTTGACCAGGCTGGAATGTCGTTGTGGTTCGGCCTGGCCCACTGACAGGCAGCGCGCGCCGTGCGTGGGTGGGCCGGGGCAAAGGCCCGGGCAAGAGGTCGGGCCAAACACCGCGGCAAGAGGCCGAGGCACGGGCCGTGACAGAAGCAGGTGCAGCAGAGGCCGGGGCAGAGGCGCGTGGCGTGGCAAAGGCCGGGGCAGAGGCCCTCACAATCAGCGCGATTTGGACGGAGCGGTCCGAAAACTAGGTTGTTCGCCTGGTGCGTTGTGAGAGCGCCCTCGCACACGGGCGGCCCGCACAAAGGTTA